CAAGTATAATAAAGATGTGTTGGGCTACTCAAATTACGATCACAAGAAAAAACAACAACATAATTACGATAATTTTCGGCAACTGCCAAATGTAAACGACTATCAAAGTTTATTTTCCAGCTTGAGAGAGGTCCTCAATATGACATACTCAGAAGGAATCGTGATATCTTTGCGAATTAAAACAAAATATTGATCAAAGATGCTAAAACAAACTAAACCTAACAACAAACAAGTCAGAAATGTTTATCTTGCAATACACGCTGTTCGACCGGATATTTACTAACAGGCGCGTATAAATTTATAGTGGAGAGTACGCAACATCTCACGATACGCGAGAAGTGTCGATATACCGCGAGATTCCAATCCTTCTCACTATACAAATCCTTGCTTACCTGTGACAGTAGTAGTCACTGTAGTGTAACTGCATACCATGAAACAAGCTGTAAAAATTAGTTGTAAAGGGCTGGACTCAGCACCAAACACTTAAAAAACTAAAAAAAACAAAAAAAAAACACACAAAGTACAGATCTAAAAGTTTTTGCAGTTACTGAACGCTAGTTTAAAGTAAATTACAAACAATATTTCAGTTTGGTGAACGTCTTTGCACTCCATCAATGTCAATTTTTTTCCATTAGGGACAAAATCAGGAATGGAAAAAATAAACAATTAACAAGTCTTGTCAGTTTGTTTATAAGTCATTTCTTTTGACGACATAAGGACAAAAGTTGTTTTCAGTTAAGAGAATAAGCTAAGTCAACTTGTTTTTCAATATATTCAAAGTGTTAATGGTCAACGTCATTCCACAGTTTAAAGTTTAGTCAGAAAACTTACCTTTTTTGAAGAACCAAAGCAAATGTCGAATTAAGTGAAGGTAACATTATACTTTTAAAGTTTTTGTCACTGAATAAAGAAATGTTCACTATTTATCTTAGTTTGTGGCAAAAAAGAACGTACGTGAATGTTTTCCTTTAAATATCTTGGTTTTGTATATTTGTTCGGAAATTTTAACTTACAACAAACTTAGCTGAAACAGAACCATATTATCTGTTGAAGACATTTTTTTAAAAGGTATAGATTTAAGTTTTCAAGCGACATGTAATATAGTTGTATGTAATGCATGACCATCATGTATGAAATTGCCAGGTTTGATCACCATACAATTGCATTGTGGGTAAATATAAAAAGAAGATGACTTTGTTTTTAAATCATACAATCAAATCATCTGAAATCTACCATGCATTATAGCAGTACATTTGCAGAACATAATTTTGTATTACTAGTATACGTTTGAAGATAATAGACTAAAAAATTGCAAAAAGGCAATGCTAATCTAGACTACTATTCACTGTGACAAAGGTGTATTATTTCAAATTATTTCTGACATTTAAGCCTTCCAATAACATAGCTGTGGTTACTTAAAAGAGGAAAAAGGCTGCATACAATACCAGTTTGAGAAATTTCCATTTAATTTTGAAAACCCATAATCGATTTGGCCTCTATAACTTTCCTTTCTTCGAGCGTCACTGGTGAGTCTTTTGTAAAAGAAACACGCGTCTGGTACACGATTTTAAGCCTGCTATTTATGATGAGTTTATTTACTATACTTCGCTTTGCGTCAGAAAATTGAAATTTTCTCTCTCTTTATACAATCTAAAATATCTTTGGAACATTAAGGGAATTAAACTCGAGGTCTGTCGAAACCTAGAATTTTAGTAAACATGTTTGAGATAGATTTGTTACTACCTTTGTTGTTTGTTGTTAGTTTTTATTTTTGACATCTTTAACAGTTTAATGGACAATATACAATATTCAATTGCATACACATTCACATTGAATGGATATGGCATGATCATATACAAATCCTTGATGCATGTAATAAACTTTAAAGATACAAACACAATATGCCGGTATATGTATATACTAAGGTTAAACACATTCGTTTACGAATAAGAAACAATTATGATTTTTGTCGAGCCTGCGACTTTTGTCGCAGAAAGCTCGACATAGGGATAGCGATCCGGCGGCGGCGGCGGCGGCGGCTACGGCGGCGGCGGCGGCGGCGTTAGCTAACTTCTTAAAAGCTTTATATTTTAGAAGATGGAAGACCTGGATGCTTCATACTTTGTATATGGATGCCTCATGTTACGAAGTTTCCGTCAGTCACATGTCCAATGTCCTTGACCTCATTTTCATGGTTCAGTGACTACTTGAAAAAAAAGTTCAGATTTTTTGTAATGTTAAATTCTCTCTTATTATAAGTAATAGGATAACTATATTTGGTATGTGCGTACCTTGCAAGGTCCTCATGCCCGTCAGACAGTTTTCACTTGACCTCGACCTCATTTCATGGATCAGTGAACAAGGTTAAGTTTTCGTGGTCAAGTCCATATCTCAGATACTATAAGCAATAGGTCTAGTATATTCGGTGTATGGAAGGACTGTAAAGTGTACATGTCCAACTGGCAGGTGTCATCTGACCTTGACCTCATTTTCATGGTTCAGTGGTTATAGTTAAGTTTTTGTGTTTTGGTCTGTTTTTCTAATACTGTATGCAATAGGTCTACTATATTTGGTGTATGGAATGATTGTAAGGTGTACATGTCTAGCTGGCAGGTGTCATCTGACCTTGACCTCATTTTCATGGTTCAGTGGTCAAAGTTAAGTTTTTGAGTTTTGGTCTTTTTTTCTAATACTGCATGCAATAGGTCAGCTATATTTGGTGTATGGAATGATTGTAAGGTGTACATGTCTAGCTGGCAGGTGTCATCTTACCTTGACCTCATTTTCATGGTTCAGTGGTCAAAGTTAAGTTTTTGAGTTTTGGTCTTTTTTTCTAATACTATATGCAATAGTTCAACTATATTTGGTGTATGGAAATATTTTATGATCTATATGTCAGTCACGCAGGTTTTATTTGACCTTGACCTCATTTTCAAGGTTCATTGCTCAGTGTTAAGTTTTTGTGTTTTCGTCTGTTTTTCTTAAACTATAAGCAATAGGTCAACTATATTTGTTGTATGGAAGAATTGTTAGCTGTACATGCCTGCCTAGCATGGTTCATCTGACCTTGACCTCATTTTCATGGTTCATTGGTCAATGTTTAGTTTACTTGGTTAATATTAAGTTTATGTGACAGTTGTAATAAAGCTTTATATTTAGGACTATCAACATAATATCAATGATTAGTAAAGAAGGCGAGACATTTCAGCGTGTGCACTCTTGTTAATTATTAAATGAACACTGTCTAAAGTACCTCAGCAAAAAAAATGTTTCGTCTCAATAGTATTTGATATCCGATACGGTAACGGACCAGCTACAGACGGAGACAATGTAGGATTTCCCTTTATTGATTTGTTATTTGTATGAATGTTTAGAATATAAATACACAAAAAAGTCATATTACTACTTTCGGTTGTGAGATGTACTTTTTCTCCAACCGTTCTAGATTAAAAAGGATATAAGAAAAAATGCACGTAAAAATGATGACTAGACCTCCAATTTGTTTTAACTTCTCATTAAATGTGCAAAGTGTACGGAAAGAAACATTCGGAAAGAAAGATCTATACATGGATATTGCATAATTAGCCATTTTGAGCACCTCGATAGCTGTATTTCTATGCATGGAACGAAACAAACGGGTCATGTCATAATGGAAGGATCCGGTTTTGTCAATGTTGTTCACAATATAAAGACCGGTTTTGTTTCGTTTTGAAACCACACATTTATGAAAAGCAGCACGGATCTGAATATTTTCCGTTGAAAGAAAGGAGTAGGTTTGATAAGGCCCTAAAATTGCCCTTAATTCTAGCTGAAATTTGAAATTAGGACTTATTGACCAATGTCACAAGGAATAATAGGTAATATAATGACTAGATTGGAAAAACGTCTTTTTGTTGAAAATTTATGTGTTTGCGTTCTATTCATGACATCACAAATAGCACTCATTTTGATTTTCCGCGGAAATTCGATGAAAACGGGTAAAATTTACATTGATTTTTTGGAGAGGAAACATAGAGCGCATGCGTCGACAACAAAGAAATTTTAGCCTGATGTTTGTTTTGAAATTTTACATATCTGACTTGAATATTTTGTTTGTCGACGCCTGCGCTCTATATTTCCTAGGTCTTACTGTGGTTGAAATCCGGACGATTTTGTCTAAAGTCGCAAAAATCTCTATTTTTAACCTATTTTGGGATGTAAAAATCAATGTTTGAAAATAAAACTTTGGCAAAAATAGTTTTATTTAACTTTTTCACATGTCTTTTCATCAACTAAAAACACGCTTTATCCTGAAACTTTGAACTTGATAATCGGGACCAAATTTGGCCCATACCAAACTTACTCCTTTAATATACTAGTATAAATTATAATTGTGTGTTCATATATATATTTTCCTTGGAACGTTTTAAAAATAGTGAGTAAAACATATTTTGCGTTTTGCGTTATCAAAATGATATAAGTATACCTTGTTGCACTTGTTTACGAACTAAGTTGTAATGGAATACAAATACATATCACTTACAATTTATTCTGTTATAACATTATGACAATTTTCTTTAGCTACTAGTATGTAATAGTGACTGCATCGAACCTGTTTAGTAAATGTGCGATTAGTGCTCAAAATGGTATCTTTTATCTTTGCTTGGAAGGGGTGGGATAAGTTTTCAAAACTTAGCTTGATTATAAGATTACGATTCCCCAAGAATGTATTTACCATATTGTTAAACATTTCTAACACCGTCCAAATTATGTCAGATGACAGGTAGGAAACGTGACAATTGAGGGAGTAGGTAAATTTCATGAGCTCATTAATGAAAACTCGTATGCTGTTACAGCATCAAACAACACCAATAGTTGTATCTATGTTGAGTTTATTTATCACGATACTGTTATAATTTATTTAAAAAACACTTAAAAATATTATAACAAACAAACACAAATTTTATTTTTGCTTGTTCTTACTTGCCACTTAAAAAGTCAAGTGTCAATAACTGTATGATGGCCTCCGAAAAGTATTTTCTTGTTTATCAAGACAAATTTAAGCCACAAAGAGAAAAAAGGAACAAATGACAAAAGTACTGTTTGTTTTGGTGTGACAAATTGAAAACCATCGTTATTATGTATGTATTATGTTCTTATTTTTTAAGTAGAAACTTATATTTAACTTATTTATCATATTCTACTTTCGTTTTCTGTATTATCAATATAAACATCAGACGGTACCAATTTAACAGCACTACATCATGTACATGTAGGTGCGCATTTTCGACAAATTATGTGATGATCGAGGCAAAAGTATTTAAAAGTCTTACAACCTTATACAAACGTTGAAAAGCATTTACATAGCCAAATCCGGGTTGAGTCCAATCAAGTTATCGGAAAGAGTATATTTCGCAATATATTACATGAATATCTTAACATGGATGTATTGCTCGAATATTTTGTTAACTGATATGAAGAGAATAAGAATTATAAATATTAAAAATGATTAAAAAATAATAATGTTAAGATAAGGTGTTTATTCTTGCAAATGAGGCAAATATCCATTAAAGACCAATGGACAAAGATGTCACTGTGAAGTTGGGGCCCCAGTGAACAATTAAAAGTCATCGTACGGACTTCGACAATAAGCCAAAATAAGCTAAAAGGACCACGGGAAGACAACATGAAATCAATTCAAGTGAAAACAAACGACCTTATTTATGCTATACCACTACAGTAAATGGACAACCGTTGTGTCACACTGCTACCAACGACAACTACTGGATTAAGCCATCTGTCTTTGAACAAACACATAAAGAATGTGACGTGGTAAAACATATTTTGGGGTATCCCATCATGTTAATCCTATCCAAACTGAGAAAATACAGTGTTGATTTTTGAATGATACGTTAGATGATAATAAATCTGGATGCTTCTTACCTTGTATACAGATACCTTATGTTACAAAGTTTCCGTCTGTCATATGGCCGTTGTCCTTGATTTTCATTTTCATGGTTCAGTGACTGCTTGAATAAAAACACCAAACATTTTTTTATCAAGTGAAATACTCATTATTAGTAATAGGATAATATATTTGGTATATGGGTTCCTTGCAACGTCTACATGTCCGTCAAGTAGGGTTCCAAATATTTGACCTCGACCCCATTTAATGGATCAGTGACCAAGATTTAGGTTACATGGTCAAGTCCGTATTTCATAAACTATAAGCATTAGGTCAACTATATTTGGTCTATGGAATGAGTGTAAGGTGTACATGTCCGACTGGCATGTTTCATCTGACCTTGATCTCATTTTCATGGTTCATTTTGACAATGTTTAGTGTTTGTGGTTTGGCCTATTTCTTAGATGTTTTAAGCAATCGATCAATTATATTTGGTGTAAGGAACGATAGTATGGTGTAAATGTCTGTCTGGCAGGTTTCATATGACCTTGACCTTACGTTCATGATTTATTGTTCAATGTTAAGATTTTGTGGTTTGATCTGTTTCTCAGGTACTTTTAGCGATGGGTTAACTATATTTGGTGTATGGAATGATTGGAATGTATACATGTCTGTCTGAGATGGTGCTTCTGTTGGTTACTTCATTTTCATAGAAAATTGATAATGTTAAGTTTATGTGGTACTTGTAGTTTACCTTCATATTACAGACTTTTAACATAAATTCAATTATAAGTAAAACAGGCGAGACATTTCAGCGTGTGCACTCTTGTTGTATAGAATCATAGTAATTTTAGAGTTCTCACATCTGTTAGTAAGACATGCGAAGAAGGTGGTGTTTAGTTGGGATCGGATGTGGGCCCCTGTAGCCTAATTTCAGGTCAAATGTCGCAAATTCAGATAAGGTCTATCACAAGTATAATATCGTTATCCTGCACCCTAATTGTTGTATTTTGGTTAAACGTTTTTTTTCATATCAGTTACAGACAGTCTTCTCACATTAAAAACGGCATTATAATGTTATGTTGATCTTTAGACGGATAAATTATGTCAATGGTATTGTTTAACCTGGTGAAAGTATTTTATTCTGGGTTTACATTTCCTGCCCATATCTCATTATATAATAATTCAGAGTATGACCTTTTTATGTTAGTTTTATTGATATTGAGGTCTGTTGGCAAGCTCATTTTCACTTTTGATGCTGTTTAATTACCAGAAGTCCTGTTTATCGATAACTTGTATATTACCACTAAAACGTTCCGTTTGTCGTAATCAGAAGTGATCTTCATTTTTCTTTCTACAACTCGTGGAACCGGGAATGTGTACTTAGCATCTAAAAGTCGTATTTGTATCGCTCTGTGTTCAGTTATTGTTATTGTGCATTTGTCTGTCTCCTTTTAACATGACCATTTCTGTCCCTTTATTGGTTTTATGTTTAACACAATAGCCAAAACATTACACAGAGAACTATAAATAAATGCGCGCTAATCCCACAAAAAACGGGAGTGAACTCAAGTCCTCCATCATAGCTACAACTCATCTGCTTCACTTCTGACATCCACTGTGTTGCTTATGAAATCAAAATTTAATTGTGCACGATATCAGAACATCATTTATATTCAAAAACTATAGTTATGTATACTTTATAAAATTTTTAGCATTAAAATGGCAACAGCAGAACCGTCATGCGATATTTGCCTGAACCTGCATGTGACAAAATCTGCCAGCGTGTGGTGTTCCGAATGTGAAGAAGCGATATGTCAAGACTGTGAACAAAGACATCGCATACAGAAAGCGACTAAAAATCACAAGACAATACCAACAGAAGATTATCAAGAATTACCAATATCTATTACCAACATCAAGCTGGAATGTGAAGATCACAATCGAAAGTTAGATTTTTACTGTTCCATTCACAACGAACCTTGCTGTACGCGTTGTGTTTCTGAAAAACATAAAGACTGCCGGGAACTTAAACCATTACCAGAAGTAGCTGACGGGGTAAAGTCATCCGCTGCATTATTTGATTTACAGGACAGAGTATCAGATATGAGTCAAATTATTGACCAGTTAATACAAGAAAAATTAGACAATAAATCGACTTTACAAATCCAAAGTACGACAAACATTGCCGAGGTTGAACGTGTCCGAAAAGCAGTAAACAAACATTTAGACACAATACAAGAGGAACTGCTGACTAACCATGGGGACGACGACAGACAACAAAGAGATGACATCGATTGCCTGGTTGATAAACTATCAAAAATGAAAACAAATGTTGATGAAATAGCAAATGCTTTTGATAAAACCAAGCAACATGCGTCCAATTTCCAGACTTTTCTTGGAATTAATAAATGGATCCGAGAAATTGAAAACCACGAGATGGAATTGAGATCAGCTCAAAACGACCAGAGTATGGCTAATGTTGATATTCAAATAAAAATTAATCCATTTTTAAGTAATATAGAAAGAGATGTATCCGAATTCGGGAAGTTAGAGATTAATTTTTCCCCATCGACAAAACTTGTTTTACGGAAGGACCAACAAGGCCAACAGATATTGATTCCATCGTCACCGTCTATAAGTCAAATACAACTTTCAACAATTCGTTCGTTTGACATACCGAAGGGGGAGTCACAATGTATGATAACAGGTTGTGACATGTTTGAAGATGAACGAATGATATTTGTCGATTCTAGGGACGTAAATAAAAGAATTGTTGTTATGAATAATAAAGGTTCTTTTATCAAAGAAATAAAATTTAAGGATATACCTTTTGATGTTACAATAATAGACTCAAACACAGCTGCTGTAACATTGTATAACATTAAGAACATTTCTATAGTAGACGTTAACGTATGCAAGACACTGCAGACAATAACTGTAAATAATAAATGTTACGGAATACGTTTCATAGACGGAAAACTATTCGTTAGTATGGGGGATAAAACTATTAAAATCTTCAACTTATCTGGTAATGTCTTGTCGACAGTATCAAAACATAATGAGGCAACATACTGTTCTGTAATGAATCAAACAATTTATTATGCAGCAGAAGAGGTGGCTATTATCTACTGTTGTGATTTGAATGGAAGTGCGCAATGGAAATTCAGTTGTGAAAAATTTGAATATCCAAAAGGTATAACTCACGATTCATCTGGAAATGTGTTCGTGGCATGTAGAGACGTCAACAAGGTCATTGTTATTGAATTTAGTGGGAAGGAGTCCAGAGTTTTGCTAACCTGTGATGATGGAATAAAAAGGCCGCTAGCAATTCATTATAATCGTAAATCTGACATCCTTCTTGTATGTAATCGATCGGGACAATGTTTCATGTACAAAATCATAAACTAAAACATTACATTGCAGAGGCGAATCTAGGGGATGCTCCGGGGGTTGAAATTCCCCCTTTTTGTTTGACAAATAATGCATTTTGTATGTGGACATATGGTTGGAACCCCCCTTTGTATATGACTTGCATGTGTTGGAACCCCCTTTTGAAAATGGCTGGATCCGCGCCTGCATTGCAGTATAGAACTTGCATGAATTTGTTTAATGAAAGATGTATCGCCTGTTGCGAATTTTAGACATAACAATAGTTAACTTGTTGTCTAAACTGAGGACAGCTTTATTCTAAATGATCAACAAACTATTTGTTTCTGAAGGGATATTTGCTTTAAAAAGAGATAAAGATATGCAGCTATACTGTTAATCATAATCAGAATTTGAGAATGGTTTCTGTAAAGTTATAATCAAATGAAAGTTTTTGTATCACACTTTTGTGTTTTATACACATTCCTAAATGAATCTCACCGCACTCCAAAGAGCAAAGAATTCATCGACAAATGAATAGCCGGGACGCTTACAACCAATTGGATCCTACACAAAATTTCCTATGTTTATTACATTATTTTTATATCGAATATAACTTGTACGTCAATACGACAACAACTGAATAACACAAACATTTACATACATCAACATGTAATCGTCGATAGAAAGCAAGTGTCTAATCTTTTTTCAAGCCTTAAATCGTATAGATTCTGATAAAGTTCTATTCAAGTTTTCATAGATTTGAAGAAATTGAGATATGTGGCATACGAAAATGAGACCGATTGATATAATTATTAAAAATAATTAAAACAAGATACTACGATACCGTAAAATTTCCAAAATTTTGTATCATGATCAAATTTCCTAAAAACATAAAGTCAAACTAAACATAGTTCCTGGACAGGTTCCTGACTTTTGACAAGAACAATAACATGTATTTAGGCAACAGTAATTTACCTATGTTCAAATCTCGTAAATCGATTAAGAAGACAAACCAGGGCAAAACATATGGCAGAGGTTAAGTTAGGTTTTAGATAAATTAAGGTTTTGAAAGTTTTACTATGTTTACACTAGACTGCACGATCGCAGTTTCATGCACAAACCAAACTCTAAGTACTAAACCTGCTGATATCAACTATTCATTTCAACACTTTTATATCTAACAAATGGCCCATAAAACAGACCTTTGCAGAAAAACATATAATTCTATAACACCGTTATAACTTACAATAAAAACTTGAAACAAAGAAAACATTACTATATTATACCATAACAAATTAGCTACTATAAATGCTTTCAATTTTTGTGATCGAAAACATATAAAAAGCATAGCAGCAAGTAGCATTTGTTAGTTTTAAATGTATTCTCCACTAAAACAACAGTGATAAAACATACCTTACGTAAAGGTAATGACGAGAAGGAAAACCTTCATCTAAAATCTTAATTTGGTGACAATCAACAGGTATGTATTGACTCAATAAGCCATATGCTAGCATACCAACAGTTCCCTGTAAATTCAGAATTGTTTGCGATGTATTATCATAACAAACATTGCGACGAAAAAGAAATGACTCGCCTTTTAAATTTTGGATAGCATTATTTGTATGCAGCAATTCCTGAAATCGCAAAAATAATCTCGCATTTGTGTCCTTTGCACAACAATCACAATGATAAATGCACGCAATACTTTCTTAATTTACAGATTACGTAAATCTTCCGTTGTAAAATACCATTACCATTGACCTAAACACAATATGTACATTCAATAACAATAAAACTATATGTTTTGTCCATTAAATGTCTTTGTATATACGTGGTATATGCTTTGTTTAACTGTAAACACGAAAGTGAAAGTACACCCAATTTGCAACTGGGTGTCTCGAAAAAGTCGTTGACATGTACAAACCTACAGCCTTTCCCCTGGTTGTTTCATTATGTGAATCTCTGATGTGTTCTGGTATTTGCTCTGCATCACGGTGCGAAGCTTTTAGTTTTAGAAGATATCCACCTTGAAATTATTACATAACGAAAGGTATTTCTGATTGTTTGCTTAATGATGTGGCTATTGGCTTGAATTAGTTATATAATTTGGTGCACGTAACGAAGAGAAGAGGAAGATCAGAATCCGGATCAATATGGGTATTCTAGACCCGATCTATGAATATATTGCTAAACGAGATCTCGTCGGATACACACTGTTGGAAAGGCGATGATAGTCAAAACTGATTCATTATAACGCATTCCCTTTGCTTAATCTGCATGATACTCGATTTTTCAAAATTATTTTATCTGTATACTGTAAACTCAGAAATTATTGCGAGGTTTTTATCAATGCTAATAATGCGACTGGGTGAGAATCTGAATAATAAGAACTCGCATTCTGGTATCCGATACATATAACTGTATGCATATTTTCCGGAAATCGCAATAATTAATCTGGCATTTTTGTTCTGTTTTCAATAATCGAAATAATAAATGCACGCAATAATTTCTGAATTTACAGTAATGTTTATAACATATCACTGGTTATTAATTTACACATTATACGCCAGAAGATATAAATAGCTAAGTTCACTGACGTGTTTACTCAGTGCTGATCATTATGTAATCATTATATATTGATTTGTTAAAACGTAATGGTATTATTCAATTAAGAAAATATGGGTATAAAATGTTAACTTGAAGTAAGAATATACAACAAAACAAGACGCAAGTAATATTATAACCCCCTGGTGTATGATCAATTGAAAACATCAGTTTATGTGTAATTCTCCCTATGTATACAGTAACTGTTAATGTGACAATAACATCGACTGTACCAATGGACTTTTATATGAAAAAATTAAATGCATTTACAGTGATTGGAAATATTTCATAATAACAGTATATCGGGTCAATCTCATAAAGGAGATCTTAATCGAACTGTTTGTGTCAAAGGAATATTTCGTTTGTTTTTAACTATCTTATGTTATATTTTCCTTTCACATTTTCTCATTCGTGACCCTTAGAACGGATGTTGCACTTTGTTTCTTTTTAATAGCTTTTTCCGTATTAACTTGTACTTTATGTCATTTAACTAATAAAACTGAAACCCACATAAAAGCATCAGAATTCAAAATAAATAAAACTAATACTAGTAGATACTTATGAAATAAATATGTCGTCTAGGTCAAAAGTTTAAACTGAAATCAGATAATAATCCTTACTCCTTGAGAGGTGTCACTCAAGGTAATCTGATAGTTCCTAAGCCAAAAGCTGAGGGCAAAATCTCCGATAATGAGTTGTCGGACAGTTTCCGTTAAATTGATCTGTAAGTAGAACCTGACATACCACTTTTCGGATTCCTACGGTCTTTTCCGAGTTAATTTAGAATTATAAAAAGATGAAGTGAAACTTTTTAACACTTAAAATTATCCGAAAGAAAATATCTCAAAGAAGTAAATATCGCTGAAATAGTCATTCGACTCTTTAAATGAGTTATAGAACTGAAATGACGAGTTTGCCTGTTTTTCGCGATTTTAGCAATTGCAAATAATAGAGCTTTAATAGAAATAGACAAGCTGTCTAATATTACCAAGATCTATGGAAATTTTTCAAAATGATTGAAATTGTCAATCAATTACACGCATGATTTATTGCCCCTATATCCAAGTTTTAACCAATTATGTTTTTCTTGAAAACAATGTGAAGACGAAATCCATGTCCTTCAAAAATGATTATCAAGACAAGATTTCGTCACACACAAGTTCCAGTGTTATATTTTGTGTTGCATTGTTTCAGTATTATGCAAAAATCTTAGATGAGTTATAATTAAAAGTACTCTTCGATTGGTAATGTGTGTGTGTGTGTGTGATTTTTTATCTTTTTATTTCATGTGGAATGTGTTGTTTTCATGAGTCAAGCCCATTCCGACTAATCTACGATTTGTCCTTATATTGTGAAAAAGTGTAATGTTGACTGTCAAAAAAATAATAAAAACGAAGCTTATGTATCAGTAACATACGGAAAAATAAAAAAAGTAAACTTTTTTTTTTCAGATATCTTTTTTAATGACGAAGGTTTTATCATGTATATCTATTATATAGTCATTTTATAAAATTTACTGTTTGCAAAATTATAAATTATTCTAAATAATAAGGATGTTCTTGTTCCAGGCAGAAAACCCTGGCCGTGTTAGTCGCAACTTTGTGGAAGTTTTGGTCCTCGGTGCTCTTCAGCTTTGTACTTGTTTTGGCTTTCAAACTTTTTTCATCTGAGCGTCACTGGTTGGTCTTGTGTGGACGAGACGCACGTCTGGCGTATTGAATGTTAAGCCTTGTACCTTCTGCTAGCTATTATTCGTGTGTTTCTTTGTCCTATATGTTCTCCCATTTATTTGTATTTTAGGTCCTGTCATGTGATGTTGTCGATTTGGTGTTGTGTTTGACGTTGCCATAAAAGCGGGAGGTTTGGCATGCCACAAAACTAGGTTCAACCCACCATTTTTTTCTTAAAATGTCCTGTATCAAGTCAGGAAAATGGCCATTGTTATATTATAGTTCGTTTCTGTGTGTGTATCATTTTAATGTTGTGTTTTTGTTGTGTCGTTGTTCTCCTCTTATATTTGATGCGTTTCCCTCAGTCTTAGTTTGTAACCCGGATTTGTTTTTATCTCTATCGATTTATGAGTTTCGTACAGCGGTATACTACTGTTGCCTTTATTTGGTGACATGCATGAAACGGTTATATCTGATGTTCAGTAGTTGTCGTTTGTTGATGTGGTTCATAAGTGTTTCTCGTTTCTCGTTTTTTATATAGATTAGACCGTTAGTTTTCCCGTTTGAATGGTTTTACACATGTAATTTTTGGGGCCCTTTATAGCTTGCTGTTCGGTGTGAGCCAAGGCTCCGTGTTGAAGACCGTACTTTGACCTATATTGGTTTACTTTTATAAATTTTGCCTTGGATGGAGAGTTGTCTCATTGGCACTCATACCACATCTTCTTATATTTATAAATATCAAGAAAATAACCAAATACTTAAAATTACTGTATTTAATTGTTATCTTCAATATTTCATCTATCGGTAAAATACTGAAAAAGGGGAAAGACGAATTTTCATAATTTTGTCTTAGATGTTGTTTCTTAATCTTAGAAAACGTCTATCAAAAATCCATAAAATTCTATGGATGTATGACGAAGTTATTGGTGTCTGAAATCATTCTAAACCAAAGAAAGTAAGATCATGTATCGGTAAAATACAAAACAATAAAAAAAAGAATAGTATTTAAATTTTTTTTATGAATACTATCTCTTAATCATGAAGAAGTATCTGTTTAAGTTTCGCATAATTTACTGAAGGTTTAACAAAGTAATTTTCAGAGA